CCATGTGTCATTGCATGTAACCCTTTGATAAAATTATAGGAGAGATTAATCTAAAAATGGCCTTTAAGTATTAAAACGCTTCCCAGCAGTGTCTCTGTAGCCTTAATGAGCAGCAAACCAGCACTGTTTGATCATTTTCACCCACAAACATGACTATATGTTCAGATATGCAACATCCACTACAATGTCCAGAAACCAAACAAAGTTATATCAAATTTGAACGGCTTCACAATTCAGCTGGAAGCAGAAATACTCAGGGGTGTCTTACTCTTTTTTAAGGACATTTCTTTGTACAATTTTCATGTCCTGTAATTATCACTCTAATGCCTGCACTTGCTATGAGATTAACTGCTGGAGCCTTAAAGCTAAACTGCCTCTTAGCACCCAGAATATCAAATAATTGAAAGTTTAACGAAATGTACGTGCCTATGCAGTTTTAGACTGAAAAGAATTGTAAAGCTTAATAATACTTATACAGCAAAAGGACATCTAAGCAAAAGGCTTTAGCTCTGTTGTCGAAATGTAAGCACTTCTGAATTTTGCTGTATTTCTCTGGAAAGTACAGTTTCCATCTTTTTTAAGTATCAAATAACATAGTCCTTGAATGCACTGTCACGGTCTTTCCATGCATTTAAAACAAAAAATCGTGCATTTTAAAATCCGAATTCAACAATAATAGCTGTGATTAAAAACATTGTATTCTTTGAAGGAATGCATGTCGCAACAGTTGTATTTCAAGCGAGCATATCCACATCTCATAAGAAGTGGTAATAGAAATGTTTTGTGAGCAAGTCAGTAAGTGCTTAAAATATGGGTTGTGGATGAGTCTTCGCTACGACCACACCAAATATGAGCATAACATGTGTGAAATTAACCGAGTCATAATTGTTTATTGTTTGATAAGATGGATTAGCTATGAAACCCGTCTTGAATGGGATTGACTCCAAAAGTGCTTTGTATGCAATCCAGAATGTTCTGAAAAATAAAAATAAAATTAACCAGCTAAAATTTGTTATTATATTTGCATTTTGCACACTTTCCACTTTCCAGTAAGCTGCACGATGGATGAACTCAGCGAAGCTACAAGGGTGAGATAATTATATGACTTCTCTAGCATGTGGAGCACTACCTTGTGCAGCTTCTTATCAGCCTTCAAGGCTTCTCAGCATGTCCAGTCACTGGCTAGAAAGTTTATGCGTGACTGCCCCTATCTCTGTGCCCAGGAGCCTGAAGGTAACCCCCCAGTCCCTCACTCCATCTGCTGCAGTCACCAACGGTAGCACTATTACATCCACTGTGCAATGCCAGCCCAGTGAGCTCCAACACCATTCGTTGCCCTTCTTAATTCACTGCCTCAAGCCTTAAATTGCTCACCAGGTTACATGTATTTCTTGCAATAGACATGCTGGAGGATGTTTTGTGTTGTAAAATTTCATGGAATGTGCATTTTCACAAGTTAACTGACAGTAATTCTCTCATCTCATCATTTCAGAAGCTTCAACGCCAAATTGGTCATGTCCTCACAGAAAGCTCTTTAAACCAGTTTGATGAGCTGTTATCAATTTTCAGAGAATAATTTGCCTCTTGGATGTGTCATGGTGAATCAAAACAGCATTTCAATTCTTGCTGGGACTCGCCTGTCTGACTTGTTACAGTTCATCAGTCGCAGTGCTAATTGGATGTTTGGAGTATTAAAAAAAAGTTCCTGAACCCATGGCCTGCTTTTTGGAGAGCACCTGGTAAATAATTAAATTACACAGATAGGATTGGCGAAATATTTAAATGCAACCCTCATTTAAAGGCTTATCGTTACAAACCATCAGCTCAGTATCTTAATTTAAGCTTTCCCCTTCAATCTTCCAGGCTTAGAGTGGCGGCATCTGTTAAACGATCCCATCTTTATGAAAATGCAACCTGAGTCATGCTGACATCTGTTTTATTCAGTGTCCATTTTCTCAGCAAGAGCGTAGTGGCTTTGTTTACAAACTAAAACCATGCATTCATGGACACAGCTTACACCATTTTTTCCCCGCTTTGAAGATGACATCCATCCACACCGGTTGGAAGCAAAAGTTGCAAATAAACCTAACTTTTTGCAACTCAGAACTCTTAATGTTTCAATACTGTATCAAACTCACTGCATTATCTTATGATTTAGCTAAGCCTGTTTGACTACAATTTGCAATCATCTTTTTAGTTTTTTTTAATAATCTGTTGTCTCCACATGAGCTTATTAACTTATTTCACCTTATCTCTGTAAGAAATTTCACTATCATTGATGATCAGTCATTCATATGTCATGAATAGCAAAGGACTGAGTACACATCCTTGAGGAGCTCCTGCGTTCAGTATGATAGAGCATGACTTCATGAACTGTGGTTTGTCTTCCTGCCAGGAAGAACAAAATCCAGGTAGTTATTTGAATGAGATTTGTGAAAAAATGTTTGTTGGGCAAGTTGTACTTTTCTTCAAAACAATTATTATTTGTTGTGAATAACTCAATCTATCTTTTATGTAACTATTGTTGTGGATACTGTATTATGAAATTCTTTATCAAAAGGGCTCGTGAACGGTCGGCACA